AAAGTTTTTGAACAAACAAAACCAATGCAGCCAAATTAGAAGAAAAGTCAGAAACTGGGAATAAAAATTTTGCAGCTAGTTCTTGGGATAAATGTCTTATTTCTCAAAAATATAAAGAAGTGAACCAATTTATTGAGATATGAGCCATTCTTTAATTAATAAATGGTCAAAGGATATAAACAGGCAATTTTAAGAAGAAGAAATCAAGGTCATCAATAGTCATATAAAATGCTCTAAGTCACTAATAATTAAAAAAATGCTTTTTTAAAACAACTCTAAGTTACCACTTTATACCCATCAGTTTGGCTAAGATGTCAGAAAAGCACAATGACAAATATTGGAAGGAATGTGGGAAAATAGGTACACTAATGCACTGTTGGTGGAACTGTGAAATAGTTTAACCATTCTGGAGGGCAATTTGGAACTATGCCCAAATGGCTATGGAATTGTACATACCCTTTGACCCTGCAATACCACTACTAGGTCTATATTCCAGAATGATCAAAGGAAGAAGAAGTCCTAGTTATACAAAAATATTTATAGTAGCCCTTTCTGTGGTGGCAAAGAATTGGAAACTGAGGGGATGCCCATAAACTGGGGAATGGCTGAATAATTTGTGATAGATGAATGTGATGGAGCACTGTTGTGCTATAAGAAATGATGAAGGTGATGGTTTCAGAAAAAATTGGGAAGACATATGAACTGATGCAAAGCAAAGTGAGCAGAACCAGGAGAATAATTTACACAATAACAACATTACAAAGATAATCAACTGTGAAAGACTTAATCAAGATCAATACAATGATCCACAGTTCCAAAGGATTCATGATGAAAAATGCTATCCACCTCTAGATAGAGAACTGAAGGGCCTGAAGTGAAGATAGAAGCATTTTTTCTCTTCTTTTTCTGTTCCTCCCCTCCCCCAGAACTTGGCAAATGAGGAAATATGTTTTGCATGACTTTTTGTGTGTAATGAGTATTGTATTTTTTGCTTTTTTTAAGGGGTGAGGGAGAGATGAAGGAAGGGAGAGAATCTGGAACTTAATTGAAAACTTTTTTTTTTTTTAAGAGAGAGAAAAAGGACTTGAAAGTCAGGAAGACCTTAGTTCAGTTTTGTCTCTCACACATACTGGCTGTGTGAGCCTAGGCAAGTCACTTACCTTTTTAGTGCTTTAGGCGCCCCCTAACACTATAAAGTACAGAGGAGTCAACTTGCATTGGTAAAGGGAGTTTCCTTATTTTGAAATTCCCTATACCAATGAGATCATAGGCCTAGAAAAGAAATAAAAGGAGAAAAACACGAGCCTAACAATTACAATAGATCCACAATTCAATATAATGAAAGAGAATTACAGACTGAATAAGGAAATAAAATTCAGGAATTTTGAACATAAGAAACACAATTTAAAAGAAAGACATACAGAATGAAAATGAGAGGCTATTACAAAATTTAGTGTGTATCAGGTAAATCCAAAAAGCAGAAGTTTCAATCATGCTATCAGACAATTTTTTAAGGAAAAAACCACATAATTATTAAGAAAATCAAACAGGTGAATCCATTTTGCTTAAAGAAATCATAAATGATAAACCAATGTCAGTACAAAACATATACGCATCAAATGGCATGCCATCTAAATTTATAAAGTTAACTGAGTTGCAGAAAAACATTGGAACACAAATGATAGTAAATCTTAGTATTTTCTCAGAGCTAGGTAAATCTTAGAGAAAGATAATGAAATAAAGGATAATAAAAGGAAAAATAGAATTAAACCAACTGTTGAACTTAAAATTAAAAAATATATAGTATCACTAAATAAGGACATCAAACAACGTACACGTTTCTCATCACATTATACTACATAGAATATGTGCCAGAGCTCAGAGAAATAATAAATGTTGAAAAAGAAAGAAAGAAAACAGGCAAAAATGTCACAAAATGAGAGAGTATGGACCAGTCAGGATCTGGACTAGTGAAGCAGTCCCTACACTGGTACATGAATGAAAGGAATAGACTGAAAAATATGAGTTTAAATCCAAGAAAATAACTTGGGTGGCCAACACCAAATATAGTTTAAATCATTTCTTTCCCTGCACCAGAGGGTGCAGGTGTGAGTAGAGTACTATGGGATGATATAAAAAAAATTAAGGGGTAAGAAAGAAGATTGCACTGGGAGAAGAGGGAAAGGAAAGATAGAATGGGGTAAATTATCTCACATAAAAGAGGTGCAAAAGAGCTATTAAAGTGGAATGGAAAATGGGGGGGGATGAGGGGCAATTGTTGAACTTCTCATCAAAATTAACTCAATTAAAATAACATACACACTCAGTTGGATATAGAAATCTGTCTTACCCTATAGGGAACTAAAAAAAAAACAAGGGTAAGAGAAAGGAGTGGGGCTGATAAAAGGAATGGAGGATTTGGGGAGGCTATAGTAAGAAGTAAAACATTTGTGAGGAAGGACAGAGTGAAAAGTGAGAGAGAAAGAGAAAGACAGACAGACAGAGAGAGAGAGAGAGAGAGAGAGAAGAAATAATGGAAAAATAGGATGGAGGGAAATACATACAGTTAATTATCATTACTATAAATGTGAATGGGATGAAACCACCCATGAAACAGAAGTGGATAATAGAATGGATTAAAAACCAGAATCCTATAATATGTTGTTTACAAGAAACACATTTGAAACAGGAGACACACATAGAGTAAGGGGAAGATGCAGAATCTATTATGCTTCAGCTGAAGTAAAAAAAAAAAAAAGCAGGGGTAGTGATCATGATTTCAGACAAAACAAAAGCAAAAATAGATCTAATTAAAAGAGATAAAAAAGGAAACTACATCTTGCTAAAAGGAACTATAGATAATGAAGTAATATCAACACTAAGCATATATGCACCAAATGGTATAGAATCCAAATTTTTAAAGAAGTTAAATGAGTTACAGGAAGAAATAGACAGTAAAACTACACTAGTGAGGATTTTAACTTTCCCTTTTCAGAACTAGATAAATCTAACCGTGAAATAAGCAAGAAAGAAGTTAAGGAGGTGACTAGAATGTTAGAAAAGTTAGATATGATAGACTGCTGGAGAAAATGGAATGAAAATAGAAAGGAACCCATCTTTTTCTCAGTGATACATGGTATCTACACAAAAACTGACCATGTATTGGGACACAAAAACTTCATGACCAAATGCAGAAAAGCAGAAATATTAAATGCACCCTTTTCAGATCATATTTCAATAAAAATTATATTCAATAAAGGGCTGCAGCAACATAGATTAAAAATGAATTGGAAACTATTCTTATCCTAAAGAATAAGTGGGTCAAAGAACAAATCATAGAAACAATCAATAATTTCATTAAAGAGAGTAACAACAATGAGACATCATGCCAAAATTTACAGAATGCAGCCAAAGCAGTACTTAGGGGAAAGTTTACATCTCTAAACACTTACATCAATAAAATAGAGAAAGTGCAGATCAATGAATTGGGCATGCAACTAAAAAAAAAAAAACTAGAAAAAGAACCAATTAAAAATCCTCAATTAAACACCAAACTGGAAATCCTGAAAATCAAAGGAGAGATTAATAAAATTGAAAGTAAGAAAATCAGCTGGTTTTATATTTGAAAAAATAATAAAAATAGATAAACCATTGGTTAATTTGATAAAAAAAAAAGAAAGAAAACCAAATTAAGAGTATCAAAAATGAAGGGATGAATTCATCACCAATGAAGAGGAAACTGAAGCCATTATTAGGAACTATTTTGCCCCATTATATGCCAACAAATCTGACAATCTAAGTGAAATGGATGAATATTTACAAAAATATAAGTTGCCCAAAACAACTGAAGAGGAAATAAAATACTTAAATAATCCATTTTAGAAAAATAAACTGAATAAGCTATCAATGCACTCCCTAAGAAAAAATCGTCAGGGCTAGATAGATTCACAAATGAATTCTACCAAACATTTAAAGAACAATTAATTCCAATACTATATAAACTATTTGAAAAAATAGGCAAAGAAGGAGTCCTACCAAATTCCTTTTATGACACAAATATGGTGCTGATACCTGAACCAGGAAAAACAAAAACAGAGAAAAAAACTACAGATCATTTTCCCTAATGAATATTTATGCAAAAATTTTAAATAAAATGCTAACAAGGAGATTATAGCAATATATCACAAGGATCATACACTATGATCAGGTGGGATTTATACCAGGAACACAGGGCTGATTCAATATTGGGAAAACTAATTGAAAAGCATAATTGACTATATTAATAACAAAGTCAACAGAAATCATATAATTATCTCAATAGATGCAGAAAAAGCTTTTGACAAAACACAGCACCCATTTCTATTAAAAACACTAGAAAACATAGGAATAAATAGAATTTTCCTTAAAATCATAAGTAGTATCTATGTAAAACCATCAGCAAGCATTACATGTAATGGGAATAAGTTAAAAACTTTGTTTTTTCTCTCTCGCTCGCTCTCTCTCAATTCAAATTTTCTTCCACAAAATGACTAGTATGGAAATGTTTTACATGGTTGCACATGTATAACCTCTATCAGGTTGCTTACCAACTCGGGGAAGGATAGTGGAGGGAAGGAAGGATAGAATTTGGAACTCAAAGCTTAAAAAAAAGAATGTTAAAATTGTTTTTACATATAATTGGGGAAAAATAAAATATTATTTTAGAGTGCTTTATATACATTGCTGTATTTGAGCCTCAAAGTAACCCTTTGAAGTAGATGCTACAGGTTTCAGCTCAATTTTATAGATGAGAAAATGAATATTAAGTTATTCAGGCTGAATAATTTTTCCATGCTCCTAATTCTTAGGATCAGAAGCAAGATTTGAGCCCATGTTTTTCCTGACTCCAAATCGAGCCCTCTTTCTACTGTGCCAAATGATCTCTCCCATAAAAGCAGAAACTGTCACCAAATTTAAAAGAAGAGATTTGACAAAAGAAGAGGCTCTGGGCAGTACTTTACCTGCTGTCTCGTAGTTTCTGGATATATTTATACTTTTCAGGCAATGATCCATTAGATGCAATCACTGCCTAAAAGAATATGAAAGATATGTAATTATTTAATTATAATTGACCTTTAAAATCTTAGACTTGTTTAGATAGGGAGTGAAGAATTCAGGAGGGAAAAAAGATATTTGCACAACTTACATCTCGGACAACAGGAGAGAAATTCTGACTTTCAAGAGGCTGAGTCGCATCTGATAATATCTGAAAGGCCAAATGAAACTGGTAAGAAGGTTTCCTTGTGTTGGCATGTGCACAGAAAGATCTGTCAAAGAAGAAAGGAATTTGGAAAAGCAAATTTTCTAAAGAGCACAGAATGTTCCGACTCCTAAGGACATTCAACCCTGCACTAAAGAAAATGCCTTCAACATAAATTCCAAATTTTAAACTACCAGCTGGTAACTATGACAATATGATAATAACTCTGCCTCCACTCTAGGCAGTTTACAGTAAAGAAAAACATCCTGACCCTGGTTAAATGAGCTATATTGAGCTTGTTAAAAATAACAGTACAGGACTTATCCCTGACTACCACCTTGTCTAGTAAATAGTCATTACTAGCCAGCATTAGTCCCTTCTAGGAGAGAGAGAGAGAGAGAGAGAGAGAGAGAGAGAGAGTACAGCCAACCGGACAGTTTAAATCGTTTAAATCTTCCCAACACCCTACTTCTTCTTCTCTCAGGTCCTGGACACAGACAGGATACCAGTAAAAGATAAAATGCCTTCATAATAAGGTTATATTTAAACTGAATAATGAAATACATGGGCCAATGCACATTGGACTAGTGCATTGTGGGCAAGTAATTCCATACTTCCTAAAATCTGGCAAGAGGAATCCAGAAAACAAAACGACAACCCCCACAATCCACCTCTCTCCACTTATTCCAGCTTCAAGTTATATCCAAAAATTTTAGCTACTTAAGCCCTAAGTACCCTACCCTCAGGGACCAGAAGTAAATAGTGCACTAAATATATAGCTAAAGGAAAAGGAGGCATTCCTATGCTCCCTTATCCCATCCTAAGGTCTAGTTTAGCATCACCTCCCAATTGGGGGGGCTTATAAAAGGGTGGGAGATGGTGAACAGCCTCGGGGGAAGAAGCAATGGAATGTTAATTTTTAATTTAAGTTTCCTGAATAATGGAAAACATAAGATATGCTGTCCATTTTGCATTTATACTAATGTAAATACATTTATTAGTTTTATTTATTTATTTATTATATTTATTTATTATTAGTATACCTTTATACTAATACCTTTTTAATGCTAAAAAAAAAAAACACATAGAACCACAAGCCTGAACAAGTAACTCTTTCTATATCCAATTATTTTCTTCCTAGAATACAGCTCAGATGTCTGCACCAAGAGAATGAAAATTTTTATCAAGGAAAGGAAGGAGATGAGAAAATTTGAGGCATGGAATAGTTTGCCCAATACCCAAAGCTAAGAGTAAAACAGTAAAGAGAGAGGCAAGGCAGGGAAGGCACAAATGACCATCATATCACCTTAATGATATCCTGTCTGGCTAGTAGACCTTAGTCACTTGCCTTCCACTCCGAAGAACATACTCTTACAATTTACATGCTGCCCAGCTCACTATTTAACATTCTTGTGCAAACAAGGCATGTCAAGAGTTTAACAAAAAAGGGGGAAAAGTACATTTGATAGAAAGGAGGAAGGGCACAGACTGTAAGCTTAGCCTTGTTGTCAATCACTCTGCCATTTTAGAATGGTAGCTTCCAAGAGCAACCGCTCAAATGGAAAAATAACCAGCATTTAAGGAAAAGCTTCCTTAGCTTTTGAAGTTAAGAATCGGGGCCTATTATTCTCAGAGAGAAAGTTCTACCAGGAAATATTAACTACCGTTGTCAAATTGTAACACAAAAATAGATGGGATTGGGAGAGGGTGCTGGTGGAGAGGTGCTTTCTAGCCAAGCAAACAATGATTATAAAGTATAATGATATTCCAGACCCTGACCACTAACAAAGGTATAAAATCTCTGCCAAATATTCTTCATAATTTTACTAAGGCTATTTAATGAATTACTAAGAAAAAAGATCCAATTTGATTTTCTATCTTTATGATACACTAAACCAGATGAGAAGGGTTCTTAAATGACCCAGCTGGCTTGGATATCAGGACCAATGTGTCAGAGACAGAGAAAGGGAGAGGTGAGGAGGAGGCAAGAGAGAGAGAGGGAAAGAGATAGTGAGAGTAGGGGTAGAGGGGGGTAGAAGGAAAGATAGAGTGAAGGAGGGGGAAGAGAGAGATAGACTCTCACAGATCAAAGGTAGACTCTGGTCAAAGATACCTTAATGAGAGAGACAAATTACCTCTGAGAACAAAGATGATCATATCAATAGTAAGGCAAGGAAAGAAGAAGATTAATAATGTAAATGTTTACAAGTAAAACTAGGAAAGAGAAAGAGAGAATCACAGAAGATTTCTTAGATGGAAAAGATTAGCATATTCATTAAATATCTCAGGTTTTCATGCAATCCCAGTTGTTGAGTCCACCATTCTGCTTACCATTTCTTCAACATAGGGAAAAAGCATATCTCCAAAGCATTCTGTAGCTTCAATTGGGAGCTGGGCTGGTAAATTGTCAATGGAACACATGAGTATCCCAGAGCCTTCAACACTAGAAGTAGCAAAATGACTAATTATATTTGCAAAAATGACCAACATACCCTATAACACTCCTCACATGAGTATGAATACGTTATTATGTTGGCCCAGCACAAAACCACGTATGTGAAATATAAGAATTAAAATAGTTGACACCCCATCTACTACTAATTTCTTCTACAACAATCTCCCATTCATATAAATATTGCATATGTATTCAAAAGTTGAAATACTTGCTTTTTAATAACCTTATATGCAAATGTATATGAAGAGTCAGCATGGTTTGGTAGGAAGGACACTGGACTTGGAATAAGAAGATCTAGATTGACATTCCAGCTCCAACACTTACTGGTTATGTGATGATATATGTAAGTTATTTTTTTTGTCTGAATCTCAATTCCCTCATTTATAAAATGGAGGCAATTGTACTTTTACAATCAAACTCACAAGGTTAAAAAGTATTTCACAGACCTTAAAGCACTACATAAATGTGAATTATTACCTCTCAAAACCTCACAGACTTTAGTATATTTCTACTGTCATCAAAGGCTCACACATCAACACTAGGAAGTGCTATGATGTTGTGCATTCAGATGATTTTCTCCTTATGTTTAAATAACCTAACTGAAATATTATAAATATATGCCTCCACTCCCCTCGCCAATTCAAAAGGCTTTAAATTGCTTAGTTTGACATACTCACCTGTCATGAATAATATGCTGATCAGCATCGTACATACAAAAGGGACTGTCTATTGTCGTGCATTCTGTCATAAACTCTATAGACCCTCCAGTGTCAGCTGAGATGTCACATATGGCCACAAGTCTGAAAGAGAGGATGCCCATATGCCATACTGCATTACCAGCTGAAAATTGCCATCAATACTAAAAATCGACAATGATAACAGCCAACAACAACCACAAAAGCTAAGGATTAGACAACAACTTCTAATGTGCATTTCCCATCCCTTTACACTGAACACGGAGGAGAAGAAAAACAAAAACAAAACAGCAACAACAACAAAAATCAAACAAGGAAAAGATTACTGAGAGATTCTTCCCAACGGAGGACTTGTTCTCCTCAACTGAAAACAAAAGGAACCAGAGCTGGATCATGCCTTTCCTCAGAATTCTCTTTAACAAAAGAACAGTGCCTAGCTACACCTTTCTAAATTAATCAATCATATAGGAATTTAGTAAGCAATTACTATATACCAGGTACTGTGTTAAGTGCTAGCAATAAGACAAGTGACACCCCTTTAAGCTATCCTACGTGCCACCACCTAAATAATCGTGTCAAAAACCTATTCCACTCATATCATCTTCTTTCTTCTTGTCCTATTCCTAATGAGGATGATTTCCTCACTTTGGGATAGTAGGGAATGACCTCTAACAGTCTGGTTGCCATTTACCCTTCCAGGTTTTGTGTCCCACAATTCCCCTGTGCCATCCTTTTCCATCAATCAGACTGGTCTACCCAGTGTTCTTAGAACACATCCTGTTTTTCTTACTTCCACATCTTTGCTCACAATGTCTTCTCTCTCCAGAAGTGTCCTTCACCCATACCTCTACCCAACCGAATTCTACCAATTCAATAAGACCTAAATCATTTTCTACCTAATCCATGAAGTCTTCCCTGAGCAGTCCAGTCCACAAGGCTCTTCCCTTCTTCTGAACTTTTATTGCACACATACTGACTGTACAACTCACTTAGCATTTAACGCCAACCATCACATTGCCTTAGTTATCTATTTTTGTGTTCATGTTTTACCTCCCCAAATGGGACTCTAAACTACCTGAGGACAGAGATCCTATCATGTACCTTTTAATCCCTTAAAGTACCCAGAATGGTGCTAGAATAACTATTAGCTATTATTATTACAACACCTAAACTAGTGTCCTGAACACTGTGATTACTCAACAAATATTCAGTAAAATAATTCATCCCTAAAATTCATAGTAGCACTATTTAGATTTGAAGATAGAAAATGAACCCAATGAAAGTTCTGCTATTTTTCACTTTCATTGCCATAGACAAGTCATTTTTTTTTAAGTCCATGGGCTTCAGTGTCTTTACCTGCAAATTGAGGGACTGGATGATCCAAGGCCCTGTCCACTACCAAGTAGCAAACAATGGGAGCTAATATGAAAAAATCGTTGGCCCTGCAGTATAAAAGATCTTTACACTTTCTGAGGAAGGGAGGAAAAGGAGGGATTAAAAATTAAATTAAATTAAAAATAAAACAAACATTTTCAAAACAGTTTATAAATTTTATTTATTAAGAAAACAATAATAATTAAAACAAAACAATAGATACTTACTTGTGGGGCAAGGAAGGGCAACCCTCAACATTAACAACTGAGGATTTGATTGGAGCGAGGAGCCTCTGAGCATCTCTCCGATTCAATAGCCGTGGAGTGTCTTGCTCCCAGTAGATTCCATTAATTAAACAAGTAGTGTAGGGGGCAATCTATGAAACAAATTCCAAGAAACCCAATGAGATGTGGAGGGTAACCTATACTCACAGAAGTATGCTAGATGCAAACTATCAATGGCATATCCAGGAACTAGCTTTTAAAAATTACTTTGAAATATTATTTTTATTGATGTCTCCTGTTTTCATATCACCTTCATCTGCAATTATATCTCTTGCCCCTCCCATACTTAAGGGTCATCCCTTGTAACAAAAATTTTAAAAAGAAAGAAAAGAGTGTTTTAACAAAAGCAATTAACATCAATTATCGGACAATATATGCAATATTCCATACCCATGATCCCCCATCTCTTCAAAGAAAGGAGAGAAACATATGTTCTCTCTCAACTCTTCTCCAGGGTCAAACTATGTCATTATAACTCTTAACATTATTTCTTAATACCTCTTTAGTTTTGATAGATCATTCCTTCTTAGCAAAAGACAATACACTGGGTGGGTTCTACCATATTCCACATGGCAATAGGAGCTCCCCATGAAATAAAGTTTTGGGTCCTTTTTCATTTTCATTCTATAATAGCATTATTTAGTAGGGAAAGAACAAGCCTTTAAATTGAGAGCCTGGTATTGTATTTTTGTCTCCAATGCCACTAACTATGTAGCCTTAATCGGGCTTCCTCAACTTCTCTGGGCTCCATTTTCCTTACCTGCAAGATGGGGATAATATGTCCCCCATTCCTCACAGGGATGCTGTGAATATTAAATCAGATAACAACTGTAAGCACTGTGAGCTCCACCAAGAAAGGTGCACACATAGTATTTACAATCAGAAAGTTCCAAATGGCCTCAGTCATCATTAAAGAAAACTAAGAGTCAGACCTAAGAATTTTCCAGTTTCACATTCTTTCATTTAGAAGTTGCATTAGGCGTCACATCCTACATGACTTGGATGATACTGAAGACTATAACATGGCAAGCACAGCTCAACACTGGAATCTAGAAAATGAGCTGCTGTCCATAAGACCCCTCAACTGAAGAAGAGTCATTCTTCCTTCTATAAACACATCACTGCTAAAATGTACTCACACTGCAAAAAAGGGCTATTAGCCACAAATGAAGAAACAAGTCTTCTTACATGAGGATGCTGCTGGTTTCTTGCTGTCATGCATTTTGAATTGGGGAATTTTGTAAAATTTCCTTTCCTGGGGATGGGTTTGCACTAGCCCACATACATTATTTTTAACTTAGTGCACCCACATAATCGATGGCATGAATTAGCAAGATGGCTCAGTGAGATTAGGAATACAGGCTGTAACTACCAAACAGACTTTCTGCAGAAGGATCAAACTCATAACTTTGGCTATATCATGAATACCGTGTTTAAAGCCAACCAGCCGGAGATGACCACAGAAGGCTATGGTCCAAGGTAAGATGGTGCAATCCTGAGGTAAAAAGACAGAATCAAATAAAGTCATGCTGACAGAGCCCTGCAGGCAAAAGCCCCAGAAACTATACCAAGGAAAATTTCAGCATTCTTAATGCTAACTAGCTACTTCTAAAGGACTTGAGTTATTACATTTTAATTAATTGATAATGGAGACTGAAAATGAATTGACATACTCCTAACTGTTCTTGCCTAAAACTACCTACCTCATAGTAAAAACAAACCATCTTCAGAGCCAAGAAAGAACAGATTAGAACACTCACATCAGTGTTAAAGCGAGATGTGTAGAGGTGAGGATGTCTGTCATATTCTACAGGGTCATACACCCCATCTCTTTTCCTGACAAGGTGATGATGTCGACTTAACACTGTCCCATACACTTTCCTGAGATCTAGCAGAGAAGAGGGGAAAAGGTAAAAGAAATAACAATAGCAGGTCTATGACCTATAATAATAAAATGCCATGATATACACAATTTTAAAAAAACATAATAAATATACACAAAGTATGTTTATATGATGTAGTACAGAGGTACCAAATATAGAGTACAGAAAATCTGTCAAGGGAGTATGGGGAATATTTGGAAAATAATTATATTATCCTATTAAAATATTCCTATGGTAATGGTGGTTTTTTTTAATTGTGGATGGGCAAGAGAACAATTTTGGGGTACAAAAATGTATTAAATGTTTTCCTTATGAAAAATTAATCTTTTCTTTTATTTCTTAAATACATGATAAACTGTAGAATTTCTTTCCTTTCATATTGAATATGGAATACAAGGAAATTTATAGGAGCCAAGTGAAATGAGACCTAAAAAAGATTGGGAACTACCAATGTAATGCATAGAAAGCTTTGTAGTCAGGAATACTTGGGTTCAAATCCCATCTCTGACACAAACTGTCTGGATGCCTGTGCAAGTCATAGGCTCTCCATGCCCTAGGCAACTCTCTAAAACTCAAAGTCACAAATCAGATGTTGATATGCTGAAAAGAAGAAACAGAAGGAGGAGGAGGAGAAGGAGGAGGAGGAGGAGGAGAAGGAGGAGGAAGAAAAGGAGAAGAAGAAGGAGAAGGATAAGAAGAAGTAGTAGTAGTAGTAATAGTAGTAGTAGTAGTAGCAGTAGTAGCAGTAGTTGCAGTAGCAGCAATAGCAGCAGTAGCAGCAGTAGCAGTAGTAGTAGTAGCAGTAGTAGTAGTAGTAGTAACTCTTTATTACCTCCACTTTGAGAAACTTCTTTTAACTCATGTGGCTCCACAAACTCACAAGGGAGTTCATTGAAGATCTCTTGGGCACCCTGTTAGTGACAACATAAGCATCAATTAGACAAGCCACACAGGATCAAAACTAGCAATGAAAATCTAAGGTTCCATAAAAACACATACAAGGATAAGTACAAGTTCATGTTCCACGAATATGGCATCCTTTCTTTTCCATCTCTGGAACCTAAACTACAACATGGCAGCTAGGTGGTCTAATGGATAAGAGCACTGGATTTGGAGCCACAAAGACCTGAGTTCAAATCCTGCCCTCAGATACTAACTAGCTGGGCAACCTTGGTGAAGTCACTTAGTTGCTGTTATAGTTTCCTCATCTGTAAAACAGGAATAATAGCAACTATTTCCTAAAGTTGTCATGAGGATCAAATGAGCCTTTGCAAACTTTGTAGCACTATATAAATGCTAGCTGTTGATGTTATTAATAATATCTTATTTGTTAAAAAATGCAAGCCAGATTTCAAACATGCCTCAGGTATTTTGTGATAGTCACAGAGATTCTCAGGTGATTGAGTACAGTAAACAGCTTCTATTAATTTTCCTTCAGTGTCTTTTTTTCCAGTAGAAATAACAAGGCTTACATGGTTACCTCATAGAGAAATATGTCATAATAAAAAACCTCTGTTACAAGTTTGTTTGAGGAAAACACTACTTGCAATCAGCAAAATTATAGATTAGGCTCTTCCTGGGAAATTTCAAATCCCTTCCATACATGTTTTCTTTTAAAACATTTATGAAGGAGAAAACTTATTAATTCCATTTCCCAGAGAAGAAATATACACTTAAATATCACAAGAATCACCCTTCTTGACTGTATTCCCAGCTTATAGCCTTTGGTATGCTAATACAAACTAGAATGGCTGTCATACCCTACTAATGATGTATAAAATAATGGAATCTTGTAACAAAACCAAAAAGATGTGAAAGCTAGAGATAATGTTGAATGAATCATTAATCTTCAAAATCATAAAATATTTCTAAGAGAAAACTAGAACCATGGGAAAATGAGAAAGTAGAACACTCTGGTTTCCTTGCAGTATCAGAATCTGTCTAAGCCAATAATACTTATATAGCACTTACTATGTGCCAAGTTCTGTGCTTTACAATTACTGTATTATTTGATCCTCACAACAATTCTGGGACATAGGTGTTATCATTCCCATTTTACAGGTGAGGAAACTAAGGCAGGTAAGTGGCTTGCCCAGTATCATCCTGATAATAAATGTTTGAGGCTAGGTATGAGCTCAGGTCTTCCTGATTCTAGGACTGGAGCTCTATCCACTGCACCACCCAGCTGCCTAAGGTAAAAAACTAGCTAAGGACAACTAAGACACATTCCGACCACATTCCAATGCAAAGAGTCTTAGTATTTACCTTAGACACATTACCAGTGCCAGTGAACACAAATGTTAAAGGTCCTATAGACTTAGGCATCAATCCCAGAGAGATTTCATAGCCAGCATCACGTACAGCTTGCACGGCCTGACTGCTGTTCCTGTAGTTATGGGCCATACCAATATGCTGAAAACAAATACATAAGATTCATATAAGTCTATACAGTGAAACATTTTGTTTTTACAAAGTGTGAAAAGAGATTTTGAAGGGAAAAAAAAAAAACCTCACCATGAAAGGTGTATGATGCCCCAGGGCAAGGAACCTTAAGCCCATTCCATGTAAAATGTTGATCATCCCTGTTTCAGAATCAGATCAATAAAAAAGACGGGAAGATTAATTTTTTGAAACAATTTGGTTTCCCCACTTCCCAGCTTCTGGCATAGTGTCTTATACAAAGTAAGTGTTTAACAAATGTCTGTTGAATTGAATTGCACTTTCTCTACAAATTCACAATTAAGAAAAATACTGGATCTACTACAAACTCAGCATTCATTCATTCCTTTATTTGATGAAATTTCAGTACAACAAAATAATTTTTATGGTTGTTTGTGGTCATAATAGGAGTTGCCCTATGTACTTAGAAAGATGAATAGAGTTTCTTAAGTGTGAGTCCATTCATAAGAGGCAGAACTTCTGTGAAAAGAGAAGGCTGTATGGTCAAGGAAAAAATGAGTTTTATATATATATTTATATATATTTGTATATATGTATATATGTATTTGTATATATGTAATATAGATGTATGTATGTATATGTATGTGCATCTGTATATATGTAGCATGTACATGTATGTATATAAAGTATATATGTATACATATGTACATTTGTACGTATATATGAACTATATATAAGTATATATGTATATATAGTATATATAAGTATACAAAATGCAATCGACATGTCCTTCAGGAGAGCATTACTAATTTGGAAGAAACAAGACTCTCCTATTATTGAATTTTGAGTAATAATAATAGCATAAGACTACCATCGAACCCATTGGTGTTTCCCAACCAATAAGTCAAGCCCAAAAGATGCAAAGATCTAACTGCCATGTTCTTAATTAAAGGGGTTTTTCCCTTCTTTGACCCGTTCCTGTGATTACCCCTTCCCACAAACTGTATGCCCCTTCTTTTTCCCCTTTCTTCCCCTCCTTAGCATATTCAAAACAAGAATTCTTCTCAGAGTTTGCATTAGAAATGAGCAAGCTGAAGTATCTTATCTGAGCTCACCCACAGCTATGAAATGGCATTGCTATTCTTTCTTCTTTCAAGTTTGTATTGTAACATAGGCTTTTATATAAAAGCTTTCCCCACCACTTTCAACACTGCAAGCAGCAACACACCCCCAGGTAAATTTTGGGACAGTTTTGGGATATGACTAACACACACACACATACACACACACACACACCTTTCATGCTTAGGCTGTTGTAATAGCTGGCTGGTTGGTCCCTGTGCCTCAAGTCTCTCCCTACTCCAGTCCATCCTCTACTCAGCTATCAAAATGATGTTCCTGAAGTACAGGTCTGACCGTGTCACATTCCTCATCCCCAACCCCTATTCCCCCATTCAATAAACTTGAATGGTTCCTTAAAACTCAAGGATCAAAAATAAACTCCTCTTGCTTTCAATAACCTGGCCTCTCCTTCCCTTTCCAGTCTTCTTACACCTGGTTGTCCTCCACCTTCTCTAAGATCCCGTGACACTAGCCTCTTTGCTGTTCCTACCACAAGACACTTCATCTCCAGGCTCCGTGTTTTCACTAACTAGCCCTGTGCTTGAATTTTTCTCCTTCCTCATCTCTGCCTTCTGGCTTACCTGGATTCCTTTAAGCCTCAGCTAAAATCTCACCTTTTGCAAAAAGCCTTTCCTCATTACCCTTAATGCTAATGCCTTCTATCCAAGGTTGTTTCCAATTTATACTGAACATATGATGGGTGATATATAAGATATAGATATACATTTCTATCTAATCTATAGGTAGCTGTAGATCTCTATCTTTATATAGATTTTATATTTTATGTATGACTATATAAATTTATTTGTTATATTTTATGTAGATTTGTACACAGTTGTTTGCATGTTGTCTTCCTCATTAGAGCGTAAGTTCCTTAGAGGCAGAGTTCCTTAGTTTGCCTTTCTTTGTATGCCAGGGCTTAGCATTGTACTTAGAACACAACAAGTGCTTGTTGAATTGTTGACAAACACACACATTCACATTGATCAACACAGGAGGTTTCAAAATGTGTCTGAAACCCTGGTATACATACCTGCCACTCCTGCCCATTGTCCGAAGGCCACCACACGTGTTCCTTTGTGATCAACCATTTTCTCATAATCAATAAGCCGTATTTCCTAAATTAAAAAAAAATACCCAGTCAGATCCTCTGGCCAAGTCATACAAATGGGCAACTCAACAGTTGACTTTTTTTTCCTCACAAAATATTCCTGGACCTATTAACATAAACTTCTTAGTCAAGCTGGCTTCTAGAAAGTGCCAGGTCACAATACAACCACAGTAAAAGACCATGAGTGAGCCTAAATGTGATAAATGGCACCCACACGGCACAAGAAGAGATAGTGAATCTAAAAGTGACACCTCAGTAGCAGGCATTCCAATAATCAAGTCAATGAGAAAGGGAATGTTCTTCTGAAATTCATTAACCAAAGCAATGTTACCATTGCTTATCTTAGAATAAGGAAAGTCTAGTAAAAACGCCTTAAACAAAGTCTCACCTAAGTTTCAACTAAGTCTCAACTAAGCTCTCTTTCTTATCCTTTACTCTTTTACATTTTTAGTAAAACATCACTATCTCTAGCTCAGGAGCTTTCTAAGTGAGTGAAAACATCTGATGTACAAAATATTCTTTGGAACAATGCAGTTAGATGAAATATAGCAACTCAAATTCACTAATAATAAAATGTTGCTAAGCAGAGGGAAGACCCAATTGGCTTTCATATCTATAATAATAAGCATACATTGTTTAAAAATGGGTGGATTTCAAGTACTTTAAAAGACTTTATTCCCATAGAAAATAATAATAAAAAATAATAAGTAACATTTATGTAGTGCTTACTCTGGGCCAGGCACTGTACAAAATCTCATTTGATCCCCACAACAATCCTGGGAGGTAGGTGGTACTACTGGCATACCTCATTTTATTGCACTTCACTTTATTGTGCTTTGCAGATACTGCCTTTTTTTTTTTTTAACGAATTGAAGGTTTGTAGCAACCCTACATCTAGCAAGCGAGCTGGCACCATTTTTCCAAGAGCATATGCTCACATCGTATCTCTGTGTCACGGTTTGATAATGCTCACGAATATTTCATACTTTTTAATTATTTTAATTATTGTTATCATATGTTATGGTGATCTGTGATCAGTGATCTTTGATGTTACCATTATAATTGTTTTTGGGGTGCCATGAATCCTGCCCAAAGACAGTGAACTTAATAAATATTTGGATGGTCTGACTGCTCCATTGACCAACTATTCCCTGTGTCTCTGCCTTTCCTCCAGTCTCCTATTCGCTGAGACACAACAGTATTGAAATTAGGCCAATAAATAACTCTACAATGGCCCCTAAGTGTTCAAGAGAAAGGAAGAGTCAATTGATGTGGCAAACTTCATTGTGTTCTTATTTTAAGAAACTGCCACAGCTACCCTAACCTTCAGTATCCACCACCCTGATCAGTCAGCAGCCATCAACTCCTAAAGCAAGACCCTCCACCAGCAAAAACATTATGACTCACAAAAGCTCACATGATGGCTAACATTTTTAGCAATAAGATATTTTTAATTAAGGTATGTACTTTTTTTTAGACATAATGCTGTTGCACACTCAATAGACTACAGTATAGTGTAAACATAACTTTTACATGCACTGGGAAACCAAAAAATTCTCATGACTTGCTTTATTATGATATTTGTTTTATTATGGCAGTCTGGGACCAAACCTGCAATATCACTGAGGTATGTCTGTATTACCCCCATTTTACAGATAAGGAAACTGAGGTTCAATAACTTACCCAGGGTCACACAGCTAGAAAGTGTCTGAGGCAAGATTTGAATTCAGGTCTTCCTGACTCCAAGCCCATCACTCTATCCACTGCACCTAGCTGCCCCTGATAATTTTGTTCATACCATTATTATTAGATGTGAACTATCTTTTACCTTTCTTTGTGTCCCAAGTGCTCTTGACAGTACCTGGAACACAGTAGACACTTAAGAAATATTTGTTGACTGACAATCAGCTTAATTTGCCAAAGCAACCTCCAAAAATGCTAGAAAGATAAATTTCGGTGAGGGTCTGGTTGAATTACTCTCTTTAGATAAAATACACTATGGTACCTCACTATGTGCCCTGAGGCCATGGACATTTTTGCTTTTGTATCCTAGCACCTAGAACAGTGCCATATATATTTTGTTGCTGTTGTTCCAGCCCTATGGGTCTCTTCATGACTCCATTTGGGGTTTTCTTGGCAAATATATTGCAGTGGTTTGCTATTTCCTTCTCCAGCTCATTTAATGGATGAGGAAACTGAGGCAAATAGTGTTAAGCAACTTGACCTTGTATATAATGGGTACTAAATAAATATTTGTTCATCTGAATGTGGTTTGAATTCCTTAGGGCAGCTAGGTGGATAGTGTACCAGGCCTAGAATCAGGATGACTCATCTTTGTGAGTTTAAATCCAGCCCCACATGCTTACTAGCCTTGTGACCCTTGGCAAGTCATTTATCCTTGTTTGTTTTGGTTTCATCTTGTGTAAAATGATCTGGAGAAGGAAACAGCAAACCACTCCAGTACGTTTGCCAAGAAAATCCCAAATGGGGTCACAGAGAGTCAGACACAACTGAAAAATGACTGAATCCTTGAATTCCCAATGACTAAAACTCTAATATAGTTTTATTCTAAGTTCTCCCTATTTTTCTTGTGTAGATATCACATATATTTCCTTTGTTGATTTTACTAATTGCTATGCTTGCCTAACTCCAGTTTATTTTCAGATACTAGTAAAGTCACACTTCTAACTTCAATTTATTTTCAGATACTAGTAAAGTCACACTTTAAATGGCTTTTAAAATTTTCTACCACCCTGGTAAGCAGAGAATTTGAGGCAGAAATGCTATACTTTTCCCCATGAATTATATGTATTATACAACGTGGTATAGTGGAAAGGTCATTTTTTTCTCTCTGGATCTGTTTCTTCATCTAGAAAAGAAGAAAGGTTGGGTTCTAAGATATACTAAAGCTCTAGAATTCTAAGATTTTATTGCTAGCACTTGATCAGTAGACCGTAGAAGTTGGGCATAAAGGTAATTATCATTCTTTCTACAATCACTACAAAGACAAGAAAGCAATAAACATTCTTGCGCTTTTTAACAGTGTGATTAACCATCATTCTATGAGAAAGGAACTATATTCCAGGATATTAGGGATAGATTTATCTTTTTCCTATAAACTAATGAAAGAGGCAAATTTCCTAGGTATACTGAGAAACTCAAATCAGTAGATTCATGTTATGTTAAGATTTATTTTATCTTAAATCCAAAGTGAATGCTTGAAAATTACAAAGAACAAGCATGACCCTAAAGAAGGGATATAAGAAGATACCTCCTCCAACTTTTTTACAGTGGTTGAAGATCCTCAGGTGTGGAACATTGCATATATTGTCAAACTTTTTCAGTGTTTTGATTGGTTTTTTACTGATATTTGTCTCTTCTTCTTCTTTTTCTTTTTTTCCCTTAAAACATATCATTTGTTATATGGGATGAATTTCTGGGATGGGAGGGGAGAGATATTGGGAGAAATTTAAACAATGTAAAAAAGATAGCCATTAAAGTTATTTTTTGTTGTTGTTCAGTGATTTTCAGTGGTGTCCAATTCTTCATGACTTCATTTGGGGTTTTCTTGGCAAAGACACTGGAGTGGTTTGCCATTTCCTTCTCCAGCTCATTTTACAGAAGAGGAAACTGAGGCAAATAGGATTAAGTGGCTTGCTCAGGGTCATACAGCTAGGAAGTGTCTGAGGTCAGATTTGAACTCAGGAAGTCTTCCTGAGTCCAGGCCAGGCACTCTATCCACTGTGCCCCCTAGCTGCCCTAAAATTTATTTAGGTAATGTGAAAACATGACAATTCAATGTATTTAGGTAATATAAAAAGATATCAAAAGATATCATGTATTTAATATATTATTTATATATTTAATATATTAATATATTCAATATCAATTATTTAAAAAACATATTTACCTGTTTGACTTACTAATTACCTGTCTTAGAATCTCATCCAACAAGCTCATATTTGCTTCTTGAGCTTTTATTGTGTGAGAGAAGAATGCATAAGTCTTCCTGGGCATTAATTTTTCTTCTGGAGGCCTCTTAACTCCCACAATGAGGCAAGCCTCAGAAATATCTTCCTGGAGAATGCCACCAGCTTTGACATATTCCTGTGAAGGCAATTTTGGGGAAAATGTATTACATTTCTTTGCTGCATGAAATTTTTTTTCCTTAATCAGGGTGAAAATCAAAAGTGTTATCACTGAAGTCGTAGAAATGTTAAGTTAAGGTTTCTGGGTTTAAGTGGATTAAAACAAGCAGGAGAATGCCTATTTCTTAGGTTATTATGTAAAGCAAGAAATAATGTTATATCTATAAGGTGTTCCAGCTGGGAGGCAGCCTGATGTGGTGAAGGCAAATTGATGTAATTTTTAAAGTACCTAATTTAGAGTCAGATTTTCCTGGGGGTCAAATTCTCACTCTAACACTTAATAGATGTGTGACCTTGGACAAATCACTTCATCTTTTGTGCCTCAGTGTGCTTAGCTGCCTAATGTACTGCTTATTCTACCTGCCTCACAAAATGGTAGGGAGGAAAAGGCTTTATGTAACCTTCCAATGTGCAAAAAGGATCGTTCACTGTCGTTGTTATGAACAATTATCAAATTGATTAACTGTGCAATTGAAGAAGGGCTTTCTGTGATTGCAACTTTTAGTCCATAAAAGCATTGACACTGAGTCTCTCTTCTGTGAAACAATATTATTGTGACATTTACATATATTAGTGAAAAAATGTAAAACACATATTTACAGTTTTATTTAATACAAAGAAATAACTCTGAACTGGTCAAGGTCTCCTGGCTTAAAGCTAGAGGTCACTAGCTGGTAGAGTGCTGGACCTGGAGTCAGGAAGACCTTAGTTCTAATGGGACCTCAGACACTTAGTAGCTGTGTGACCCTGGGGAAGTCATTTAACTGCTGTCTTCCTCAGTTTCCTTGTCTGCAAAGTGAGGATAATAATAGCACTTAGCTTTCAGGGTTGTTCTGAAGATCAAATGAGAGCTCTAAATGTTAGCCATTATCATTATGTGTGGTTTCTTTCTAGGGAAAGGACGTTTACTATCTGCAACATGCATTTTGTGCTTATAGAATCCTAGACTTTAGAGTGGGAAAGGGCCTCAATGACTATCTAGCCCAACCCTCCTCATTTTAAAAATGAAAGATCTGAGGCCCAGGGAAGTTTTAGGTGATTTTCTTATGGTTTATTATTATGGATAATTAGGAGTTGATTCACTTCTTAAAATATTTCCTATGGACCTACTAAGTACTAGGTACAAGAAGTTGTGCTTAAGCAATCTGTGGGGTATAAATCATAAAGTCATATAGAACTCAAAAGGAATTTAGTTAGACATCATCCAATTGAACTTTTTCATTTTACAGATGAAGAAACTGAGGCTCAGTGAGGGAAAGGAATTTGCTAAGATCGCACAGCTAATTAGAAGTAAAACCACCTAGTCCAGCACTCTTTTGCTACAGTTGGCCCCTTCTTCAAAGATGAATCTAACATGGTCTTCCTTTTAAGGAATTTATAATATTCTAGATTGAATATGACAGGTCATGGGAAGAAATGCTAGAACATAAGTCACCATATTCATCATACCATAAGGATGATACTTTACTTTTTTTTTTTAAAGAGAAAGATTTCCCATTTTTTATTCAGAGCAAAGATCTTAATTCTTGTCATCAGCAGATTTGAGCATTTGTACTGCTTCCTTTTAGACCAAATTGTCTTCCTCTATGTGTGCTACAGGGTCCGTAGCTTTCACTGGAAGCAGCAAGGTTTGTGCTTTTTAACTGCCAACAAATGTGTTCTTCCCAAAAGTAGCATGTTTTTACTCTGAAATTTGGATCCATTTTTATTATGGGAATCCAGAAAATAGAGAGTCATTGTGGTTAGGATGATGAGAAATGGGTTTATGGAGGAGGTGACATTTGAACTGAAACACAAAGAACAAATAAGCCTTTGAAAGAAAGATGACTAAGGAGGGTAGTCCAAGCAGCAGGGAATGGTATAAAGAAAGGTCAAATACAGAGTATACTTAGGGAATGCAAGTAGTTCAGTTTGCTGGAATGTGAAGGGAATAAGACTGGAAAAGTAAGTTGGGACCAAATTGTAGAGAGCCTTGAATGTTATAATTTCTTCTACTTCACCAAGCAGCTAATGGTGATTTATTAAAGATTTTACTCTCACCTCCCTGCTCAGTGAGAACAGTGATTTAGTTAGAACAATCTGAGAACATCATGCAGAATGGATAGGAGAGGCAAAAAACTTTGGACAACGAGATAGGTTAGTAAGCCATTGCATCTGAGAGAGCCAGAAGAAGGATGTAAACCATGGAAAAGGAAAGAAAGCTATAAACACAGGAGACATCCCAAAGGAATGAACAATGCTACCTGGTATCATTATTTACTTCATTATCATCAACTACTTGAGACTCAAGACTGTGTCTTATACTTCTTTAAATTTTCTTGCTCAGACATTGTATATGAGCACTCAATATAGACTGGTAATGGTAATTTCAATATTGCTATTAAACACAAATCTTCAGATACTTTTATGTTCAAGATGTATAAGTTCAAGGGCAAATGATTAAAAAGATTTATCTGTGTATACGTATATACACAGACATAGATATAGATATATCTGTATATATACATCATGTATTTATGTATATAATGTACAAATTTTTTTTCAACTCTAATTTGCAAAAGTTAGTTACTTTGTTTTTTTCTAGCTAAATAAATGCACATTCTTTAAAAGTTGCAAGTAAACTAAATTGTTGAAGAAGTCAAAGTATAAATTCATTAATGGAGCTCACCACAATGCCACAGCGAATCCTAACATTACAAAACAGAAAGACAGGATTTGCCAAACCAATAGTTCATCCCATCAATATTAAAGGTCAGGACCATCTCCATTTCTCTCAGTAGTGACTTATGACTTGCATTTGAAGCTATTTCCAAACTCTTTTTCAAACTATTTCTTGTAAGTGCTGCCTCTTAGAATGAGTCGCATACATTTTTCACCCGTTTCCTTTCATGTGTCCTAAACTTACCTCACTCATATTTGAAAGGGTGACCCTTAGTTTATAATTTGAGAGGACGTATCTAAGTCTCCTCTCCATCTCTTGGAAATCTTAACTTCCTTCAAGTTTCAGTTGAGGTGCATGTCCTATGGGATGCCTTGTATGATTCCCATTTTTAAAAATATTCTCTTCATCCTGAAATTACTGGGCATTTACTTTTCTGAATACACAGACTCTCAAAGTAGAAGGCAAGCTCTATTTGATATAGACTGTGTTGTTTCTGACTTTGTGTCCCAGCCACCTAGGACAGTGCCTAAATACATATTAAACATTTATTTGTTGATTTGAAGTTATCTGTGCTGATTATTTTATAAATTTTAATGACTCTGCTTGACCTTTGCTAATCCAAGATGAAGAATCCTCATCTTTTCAGTCAGTTGTCATATAGCATCTCCCACCTCCACTTTCATCCCTCTAATCCAGAAAGTTTTAAACGTTTTTTGTGTCATGGACACTTTTAGCAGTCTGGCTAAACCTATGAACTCCAATTCAGAATTATGCTTTTAAATGAATAAAATAAAATAAATAGGAGTTCTAAGGAAATCAATTATATTAAAATATAGTTATCTATCTATCTATCTATCTATCTATCTATCTATCTATCTATCTATCTATCTATATCTATATCTATATCTATAGCTATGTTTCAAAAACAAGTTCACAGATCCCAGGTCAAGGAAGCCCTCCAGTCTTCTAGGTGCCTTTTTCTGGGCCCTCGCTCATTCTGTTATACCTCTCCTGAGGTGCAAAGAACAAAACTGCTCTTTGTATTCTCTAAGTATTGCTCTAAGTATTCTGAGTACAAGAATATCATATTGTTTTATAAGCAGAGAATATCATTTTCTATAACCTTTTTCTAAATAGAAGACTGCTTTTGTGACATGTGGTTATCATTTCTTTATTATCTATTTTCTAAGGTCACATTTTCACATATTGTGTTTCTTTTTATGCTTTATCTCAACACGTTATTTATCTAAAAGGCAACATAGCATGTAAAGTGGATAGAGAGCAGGCCTCAAAGCCAGAAAGACTTGGGGTTCAAGTCCCTGAAACCTTGGGGCATCAAGTTCTGGTACATATTGACTATGTGATTATGGACAAGTCACAACCTCCATGCTCTGAACAACTCTCTACAAGTTGCAGAAAAGGTGCCAATTGGTTGACAGAAAGAGTTCCTAATCAGGAGCTCCTTACATCAAGGAAATCACAGGAAATCCTATTATTTGATCATCTGTGCTTACAACAAGGTCCTAAAGAGGCCAAGGCCATGTGTTAGATCTCCATTCAAGCTTGCTGATTTTGTTCTACCTAAGCCATAGACTTCAGCAATTTTGCAAATATATACCATGTACCACCAAGGGAACCAGGCAAGAGAGTGTAGATGGTTCAAAACAGAACCATCTCCAGGATTCAAAAAGCACTTTTAAAAGGGAATGTTGAAAGTATCTATGTCACCTTTACCCAATAGCCTATAGCACCTTCCTACTGTGCTAAAAATAAGATTGGATAGGATGAAAAGAACAGTATTCTGACAAATTCCCATTAAATCATGGACTCTAGCCAGAATTATATATCATTTTAAATAGAATTATATACAATTAAGTAGAATTACATAGAATAAAATATAATTTATATAATTACATATTAAAATTAAATAGAATTATATACAATTTTAAGTATCTAAACTTTAACATGCTATATAAATGCTAGGTCTTATTATTATTAATTAGATCAAAGAAATAATTCCAGATTGTAGGGGGAAAAAAGTATTCTTAAAAAATCTTGGTTTCACTCAGAATCCTTTAGCTCTTTCACCTACACTTTTTCAAAAGATGATCATTTAATCTCCTTGAGGGCAGAGACTTTGATTTCTCTCCATATGGAACTCACTAGTCCCTAGCACAGTGCACATCAAATAGAAAGTAACTAAAATTTGACAGTGTGTTCAGGAAGACATCAGGGTTCGAGTTCTGCTTCTGACACTCACTAAGTGTGTGGCTATAGCCAAGTCACTTAAACACTCTGAGCCTAGATTTATCTCTAAAAATGAAGATAATAATTCTTGCAGTATGTTCCTGATAAGGAGGTGTGAAGATTCAATGAGATAATTTACAGAAAGCACATCACAAAACCAAAAGCACCAAACAATTGTTAGCTATCATTATTATTACAGTTATACTAACACTTACCTTATCATGAATGGCTCTCCGATTTGAAGGTTGAACAAGCACCTTATATCCCAAATTGGTAATCCCTTTGATGTGCTTTGGGGCCAGAGGTGCCCTCCTTTCCCACGCATTTACATCTTCTCTCCTGAGTGCCAGCACAGCCTTATGATGGAGGCGTTTTAAATGGATGACCCTTAGCCTACATTGCTTGCTCCTGAGTACTTGGAACATTGTGAAACCTGGGGAAACCTAGTGATGGTAAATGCAACAGAATAAAAGCGAATAGGAAAAAGCAGCTACTGATCAATTTTAATCACCTTTGAAATTAGCAGTAAAATAAGACAGACTCATGATGACAAATTTGATCAATATGTCTTCAGTGGATTTAGACTGTCATATCTATCCAAGTAGGCAGTCAGTCATTAAGCCGTTACTAAGTGCCTACTATGTACCAAGCATTGCGCTAAGTGGTGAGAATACAAAGAAAGGCAAAAGACAGTTGTTTCTCTCAAGAGCTCTAGAGCCTAATGTAGTCCCAAATGTTTCACACAGGGCATAAAAGTCCATCAAAGCAGAGGAGTATATTAGTGACATAATTGGCTTCCACTCACCGGTAACGGTTCTACCAAATAAGTTTTGGATACTACTTTTTTGAGTCATCATAAAAATCTAAAAACTTGAACTTTTGTCAGTTTAGAGTGGCAGAAAGGAATAATTCAAAAGCAATTACTTCAAACTGCTGGTCATGGCATGTAAGAAAACAAATAACTTTTAAACAGTTTCAATGAATTAAGGACAGAGTTTATAGAAAAAGAATAAGAGGAAGTAAAACAAAAGAATCCAAAGATGATGGCTGTCTTAAGCACAACAAAAACCAGTGTCTGAAGACTGTGACACAAAAATCCGAAAATCTCAAGTCTAATCAGTTTACAATTAACTACAGATATCTATGATGCAGCAGGAGGGAGAGAGGGACTGAAATCATTCAACTGAGACATGTAGATGACTAAATGTTGCATTAAAATGATTATTTTTTAAAGTCAATGAAAACATGTCATTATTTATACAGTCATTGCAACTTAAGTTTTTTATATAGGATGGGCCTTAAAAAAAAAACTCATAAAAGACAAAGTACTTTAAGAGCTAAACTTCATAGTTCTATTGAATAACAAGTCACGGTGGGTGAGCTAAGCATGGTATAAAGAAAATAAGCCTGTATTATAATAAAGAAGCTAAGACCCAGAGTTAAGAAAATGCTCGCCGCTCTCTTTACTGCAGAAGTGAAGCACTATTGATATGAAATATCACATTATATTCTCAGATGAGGTTAATGCATTGGTTGGTTTTGCTGAAAAATTCCTCCCTCCCTCTTTACTTTTTAATCTTTTTTGTTACAAGTCATAACTCACTGGGGAGATGAACAGGAAGAGATACACCCAGAAATGAATGGCATGTAACCAAAAAGGCATCAATTAAAAATATTTAAGCTATTAAGCCAATTTTTCTAAGTCCCATCTTCCATCTTTTATCAGAAGTTATGATCACAGAGTTTAGAGATGAGAGGTATCTTAGATATCATCTAGTTTAAATCCTTTGTTTTACAGAAGAAAAACATATTAAGAACCGGAAAGTAAATTTCCCAAAGAAACATAAGCAGTAAGCAACAGAAGCAAACCCAGGTCCTCTGAGTCCAAATTCATTTCAGCCTTTGACAATGGTGATCACCCTCTTCTTCTCAATACTCTCTTCTCTCTAGATTTTCCTGACCCTAATCTCTCCAGGTTTTCATCTGACCTATCTAACTCACTCCTCCATCTCCTTTGCTGGATCCAAGTGGTGTCCACTAACCATGGGTGTCCCCTAAGGGTTTGCCCTGGCCTTCTATCTTATTTCACTTGGTGGTCTCAATAGCTCTCATGGAATTAATTATTATCTTTGTGTAGATGACTGATATCTACATGTCCACCCTAAACCTCTATCTGAACATCCAGTCTCACATCCCCAGTTGTCTATTAGACATATAGAACTGAATGTCCCATAGACACCTCAAACTCAACATGATCAACATTGGATTCTTTATCATTTCCTCCAAACCCTCCCATCTTCCTAACTTCTCTATTACTATTGAAGGTACCACAGTCCTTCCAGTCACCCACAGTCACAACCAATATTTCATCAAGTCCTCACCTCCCATATCCAATCAGGGGTTTAGTCCTATTGTTTCTATCTATATAACATCTCTCATGATGATCCCCTTGTCTCCTCTAACACTGCCAACCCTCCTGATGCAGACCCCTATCACCTCATGCCTAGACAGTTGCAAAAGCCTGAGGACTGATCTCCAGTCCTCCCCACTTCAATCTATCCTCCACTTGGCTGTCAAATTGATCTTCCTAAAAATGTTTACCTATATCACCCTCTTTCCCTCTACTCTCACCATTCCTCTAATCCATACTATTCCAATAGAGATGTTTTAATATAATATCTCAAAATATAATATCATCAGATTAGAGCAAATATAAAACCCTTTGTTTAGTTTTTAAAGCCCTTCCTAACCTGACCCCTTCCTACCTTCCAGTCTTCTTACACTTTACTTACCTTCAAATACTGTCTAAGATCCGGTGATGCTGAATACATCCATATTGTTTCTCAGACACAATACTCCCTCTCCTGACTCTTTTCATTGGCTGTTCCTCCACGCCCGGAACCATCTTTCTCCTTATCCTTTCATCCTGGCTTCCTTCTGGTCTCAGTTGAGCTCCCACCTTCAGAAAGAAGCCTTACCTAGGGGCAGCTGAGCACTGGCCCTGAAGTCAGGAGGACCTGAGTTCAAATTTGACCTCAGACCAAACACTTGACACTTACTAGCTGTGTGACCCTGGGCAAGTCATTTAACCCCAATTGCCTAAAAAAAAGTCTTTCCCAGTCCTACATCTTATTGCCTCTTCTCTGAGATGATCTTTAATTTATCCTGTTTATATCTTGTTTGTATACAGTTGTTCACATTAGACTCCTTGACAGCAAACTCTTTTCTTTTTGTTTTTCCTTTCTTTCTATCTACAGTATTTATCACAGGGACTGGCACAGAGTAAGCACTTAATTCAAGCTGACGATGACTGTGACCTTTTCTGTGACTGTGTGGATTTAGCTAAATTACAAATTGTCAACACTTCAAAGGAAGGCTACTCCATACTGCTGACTACGTTTCCAGTATTTCATTGTCTGTATTCCTTCCACCAAAGTAGATTACTATCTCCCAGTCATGGGATTATAGCACTGAACTGAAAGCATCCTTACAGTCCATAAAGTCTAAATTCTTCATTTCAGAAATGAGACAACTGAGTCTGAGAGAGGTTGTCACTTACCCTGGGTCACACAGTTAGTACACATCTGAAGCAGGATTTGAACTTGGGTTTTCCTGACTTCAAGATTAGCTACTATGACACTATAACCCAGTACAGACTGTCTTAAATTCACTATTTGCAGCTACTCTGATGACAAATCTTTCCAAAACTAGTTCTTGGGGGTAAGGATGATACTGGTCAGCACTGGGTCTGTACTCAAAGTCCTTCTACTCTGATAGGTCCTAGTACCAGCATTTGCATTCTGTTGGCATAGCCTTCAAGGACCCAAGAAATGAAAATGTCCATGTACAGTCTGAGCCAAGAGATCCCACTGCTAAGCATATAACCCAAGGAGATCAAAACCAGAGAGATTTCATATATACCCGAACATTCGTAGCAATACTATTTGTGGTCTCAAAGAACTAGAAATAGAACAAATGTCCTTCAACAAGGAAGTGGCTAAACAAAGTATGGTTCTACATCATAAGAAAGTCATGAATATGAAGAATTCAGAGAAGCATTGGAAGATACTGATGCAAACTTAATAAACAGACAATATACACAATGATTACAGCAATGTAAATGGAAAGACTGAGCACTCTGTAATTTTAATGGCCATTCATAAAAAGTTGAGAAAATACAGTTATCCCTTCCATATCACGGGGTTTGAGGCAAGAAGCAATCTGGAAAATGTCTGCAAAACTTTTTTGCCCTCCTTTCGTACCAAAGAAGTCTGAATTATTATGGTATTAAAGATAAAACATGTTGATATTATGCAGTACTATACATACATACACACAAACACACATACATACATACATATTCTTTTATGAGTTTCTAAACTTTTTCTGTGTCATCTTCTGGCCTTCATATGTCATGTGCAGCTTCCACAAAACTCCCCCCAAATTCCCATTTTATTTCTTATGCCAAACCAAGACATATCAAAACCACATTGGGGAAAGTCTAAATGTGGAATAACTGTATACCAATCTCCCTTCTTTGTAGAAGTGGGGGACTAGGAGTGTGGAATATTATACATTCTCTCAAAGAAGGTTAAAGTATTAGGTGGTTTTATTTAACTTTTTTTCTATAGTTTTAAATCTCTGTTATAAGGGATGCCTTTGGGTAGGAAAGTACAGAGGAATATATTCACAAATGGAGATGATTTTAAAGCAAACTATATCAATAAAAAGAAGAGCTGCCAAGGCTGAAGAAGCTGGGAAATCTGTTTTGTTTTGTTTTGTTTTTTAATGTTATATCTGTCTCTTTTAAGGCAGTTTATAGCAATAGAAAGTAAATGCAAGCAGTCCTATATACTTCAATTGGTGCTGAGGGCATTACTAAATTTTCTCCATAAACATCTTAATTTTTTTCTTCTTCAGTGAAATATGAGGCAAGGTTCTCAGCTGAGACAGTAGGAGGAAAGGGGAGTCATAGGTCCAATCTGTATTCCTCTGCTAGAATTTATTCAGCAGATTATGAAAGATATCTTTCTGAGAAATAGTATCAAAGTGTTGCTTTGATCATGTTTTTTTTCAAACTTCAGGGCATTTTCTTGAAGAATTCCTAACACCAAGTTGGGTTGACATACCTAATAAAGCACTGAAACTGATCTCAAATGAATAGCTTTGGTTGAACAGTAAACTCTTAGTGAAAAGTAAACTCTTTGAGGGTAGAGACTGTTTCTTGTTTTGTTTTGTTTTTTGTTTTGTTTTGTTTAATCTTTTTATTGAGAGTAAGTGCTTAACAAATACTTGTGGAATGAAGGAAGTCAGTTTTTAAATGCCTCAGGAAACCACCTGCCCTTTAAATGCTAATCTGTGACTAGTAAGAGTACTCATTGCACCAGGCATTCCCCCAGGCACAACCAGATAAAAACACCTTGAAACTGCAAAAAAAATACAT